GCTTCCTAGTGCTTTTTCTAGGAAAGTATTGTGAAAGTGAGAATAGGCTCTTTAGCCAAAGATTTGTGTTCATGGCACAAATCTGAAAGCTGCTACCGCCTTGGTGGTAGGGCATCATGCTCTCTGGTAATAGCAGGGACAGGGAAAGCCAAGACAAGAAAGCCAGAATCCACTTTGAAATGCTCATTTAAGTCAAGTTCCTGATTATACTTAAAGAAGAGTCATGGCCAGCCATGGTGGCTCATGCCTGTAATCCGAGCACTTTGGGAGGCCCAGGTAGGAACATTGCTTGAAGCCAGGAGTTTGAGACCAGCCTGGCCAACATGGCAAAACCCTGTCTCTACTAAAAATATAAAAATTAGTAAGGCGTGGTGGCGTATGCTTGTGTAATCCCAGCTACCTGGGAGGCTGAGGCACAAGAATCGCTTGAACTTGGTTGCTGACTACAACCTCTGCCTGTGCACTCTAGCCTGGGCGACAGAGCGAGAGTCCATCTCAAAATAAATAAATAAATGAAGTAAATAAATAAATAAAGAGGAGTCATAATGTCCATTAGTTTCAAGGCCCTGGGCTGCGTCAGGGAGACACATGATAGCTACTGAATATATATTTTTTGAGACAGAGTCTCACTCTGTTACCCAGGCTGGAGTGCTCACTGCAACCTCTGCTTCCTGGGTTCAGGTGATTATCCTGGCTCAGCCTCTGGAGTACCTGGGACTACAGGCATGTACCACCATGCCCGGCTAACTTTTTTTTTTGAGACGGTGTCTCACTGTTGTCTTCCCGGGCTGGAGTGCAGTGGCACAATCTTGGCTCCCTGCAACCTCTGCCTCCCTGGTTCCAGCAATTCTCCTGCCTCAGCCTCCCAAGTAGCTGAGATTACAAGTGCCTGGTACCACACCCAGCTAATTTTTGTATTTTCAGTAGAGATGAGGTTTCACTATGTTGGCCAGGCTGATCTCAAACTCTTGACCTAAGGTGATCCACCTGCCTCGGCCTCCCAAAGTGCTGGGATTACGGGCATGAGCCATCGTGCCTGGCCTTTTTTTTTTTTTTTTTTGAGACTGAGTCTTCCTCTCTTGCCAAGGCTGGAGTGCAGTGGCGTGATCTCTGTTCACTACACCCTCCACCTCCCTGGTTCAAGCAGTTCTCCTACCTCGGCTTCCCAAGTAGATGGCATTACAGGTGCATGCCACCATGCCCAGCTAATTTTTGTATTTTTAGTAGAGACAGGGTTTCACCATATTGGCTAGGCTGGTGTTGAACTCCCAACCTCAGGTGATCCGCCCGTCTTAGCCTCCCAAAGTACTGGGATTATAGGCATGAGCCACCACACCTGGCCAGCTGTTAGATATTTTATCAGTTATTCATGAGTCCCACTGCGTATTAAATGCCAAGAGAGAATCCCATCAATTTCTAGTCTTCTAGTCCTTTTGTGTTGTTCCCAAACCAGTCTTGGATCAGATATGTGTAGAAAATGACTGAGCATTGACAGGATATCTAAGCAACTAACTGTGCATTACATAGAAATACCAAATCCTGCTGGACAGAAGAAATAATATAAGGACATCCTCATACGAGGCTTAAATCAGCCAGTGTGCTTAATTGAACTCCCACAGTGAACTTAGCACTGGAGGGAGGACAGATTCAAAATAAGTAGACATAGGGTTTGCCTGTAGGGAATACACAGTTTAACTGGGGAGACAGTAAATACACAGACTTACAAAAGAAGAAAAACTCCATAAGGTAGTAAATGCCACATTGAGTGGTTAAGGTCATTCAAAAGCCTTGATGTGGCATGCCAGGAAATAGAAATAGATGTAACATTGGGATCAGCTTTTGAACCAGGACTTCAGCATGGCAGCCTAGGAAAGGAACAAATCAAAGGACAGTGTACCTGTGTTCTGGGGCAAGGGATATTGGCTCCTTATGTCTTTTTCAGTCACCACTATACTCACAGTTGGTAAGCATTTAATCAGCAATAGTTTCAGTCATAAAGGACAGCAAGATAAATGAGTGACATAAATTTAATTCAGAATCTGGGCCAAAGCCTGATACCACACCTTTAAAAGCAAAGTGTCATCTGGAGCTGAAGGAAAGGCTGCCTGAGCAGGAGGCAGACTAAAGACTAGGAAGACTTGGGGAAGGCTTAAATTTCAGGAGATGTTAGTAGTATAACCAAAAGTTAGACTACTACAAGTTGCCAAGGTTGATGGGAGCTGCTCTTAGCTGGGTAGGTCCCTCAAGGGTCCTTGGGAGTCTGTCCATCTGGGTAAGTTGAGGAAGGTAGGGCAGGGAGGAAGCCTAGCAGGTGACTTGACTGAAGTTGAACCCTAAGGTTGAGCCAATCCTTCTTCTGGGGTATGAACCCTCTGGGTCAAGGGTAGGGCTCATCTGGGGAACCTACTGAGAGCGCCACACCTGGCTCATTAGTGGCTGGCTGAGGAGGCCTTTTGAAGATTAAACATTTCATAAGCGCTCATTGTTTCTGTTTTGTGTTTTTTTGACAAACTAGTACTTCGGTCTCAGGGACTGTTGATCTGGTTCAGTTGCACTAGTTTGTAATTTGCTGCAAACTGAGAAGGATGGTAGGGGGAAATGTCACAAGGTTTTGAAAAAAACCAAATCCCACCAAACCCCCATGCTTTAGCTTGTAAATAGGATTCCTTCCCATCCACCTTTAACATTCTTGGGTTTAGGCATACTTTGTCTTGACCTGTCTCTTCAGCTGCTGGGTTTGGGGTGTGTGTGTGTGTCTCTGGTTCCCAGACTCTGTAGAAAATGCCAGCAGCTGGCATATGGTGATTGCTGAATAAGCTGCCCGCTGACACATGCCTCCTGCAGGCACAGAGAACTGGCTTGTATGGATGATTCTGAATCCTTGTTTTATTATTGTTTCAAAGATGCATTTCTGTGGCTATCCTGTGCATAGAATCTGATTCTCTCTTGAGGCAATGGCTGGGGTGAGCAGGTAGACATTTTGTACCTTTACAATGTTTCTTTTTTTTTTTTTTCTTTTTGTCTTTTTTGCCAGTGAAGTGTTCCAAGTAGATACATAGATACAGTGGTTCTTAATACTCCTGTTCATCCTTTCAGCAGGTTATTTGTTTGTTTGTTTTTGAGATGGAGTGTTGCTCTGGCACCCAGGCTGGGGTTTAATGGCGTGATCTTGGCTCACTACAACCTCCACCTCTCGGGTTCAAGTGATTCTCCTGCCTCAGCCTCCTGAGTAGCTGTGACTGCAGGCACATGCCATGACTCCTGGCTAATTTTTGTATTTTTAGTAGAGACGGGGTTTCACCATGTTGACCAGGCTGGTCTCGAACTCCTGGTGATCTCAGGTGATCCACCCACCTCGGCCTCCGAAAGTGCTGGGATTACACAGGTGGGAGCCACTGCATCCAGCATCAGCAGGTATTGGTTACATGCCTACCGTATACCAGGCACAGCATCCAGTCTGAGTGAGCTGCCAGTAAAGTCAGTAGAAATCCTGGAGCTTAGTTCAGTTATTCAACTATCGTGTGCTAGGCACGATTTTTGGTACTGGAGACAGAGCAGTGAACAAAACACGTAAGAAGCTGATATCACAGGAAGAATAAAATAATCAGCAAGAAATAAATATATAATGATGTGTCAGATGATGATAAATGTTATGAAGAAAAGTAAAGCGGGATAAATGGGGTAGGGAATGGTGTGTGTGTCTATGTGTGTGTGTGTTATGTAGGTAGTTTTGGGAGGCCTCTTTGGTAGGTAACAATGGAACAGACAACTGAAGGGGGTCAAAGAGTAATCCATGATGGTTATCTGGGAGAGAAGCATTCCAGGCAGAGGTGATAGCAAATATGAAAGCTTTGGGCCAGGCATGGTGGCTCATGCTTGTAATCCCAGTACCCTGGGAGGGTAAGGCTGGAGGATTGCTTGAACCCAGGAGTTTGAGACCAGTCTGGGCAACATGGTAGGACCTCGCCTCTTTAAAAAAAACAAAAACAAAAACAAAAAAAACCTTTGAGCCTTTGAGGTAGGAAAGGAAAGTTTTGGGGAATTGGAGTGGAGTAAGCAAGGGAGAGTTACAGATCTTGTGAGAAAAGTAGAAGGGAGTGTAGGTCTGTAGGACCTTGTAAGCCATGGTTTGGGCCTTGGGTTTTACCGAAAAGGAGCTATGAAGCCACAAGAGGGTTTTGAACAAAGGAATCATATGACCTAAGGCTTAGGGAAAAAGCAGAGAACCAACGAGATGACTGCCCCATTGCCGCGACCATGTGGAACAGCTCTCCTTGGGTGGGCCACAGTCAGCCTAGGATGCACTTAGCTGAGGAGTAAAGGGTAGCCCCGCCATACCCCACCTCTCTACCATCAGTGTACTGTTGTTTGAACAGGGCAAAACATTAGCAGCTGGCATTCCACAGAGTGTAAAGGATCAGCCTCTTTTAGGAGTGCAACTTTCTTTAAGTCTCATTTCTTTTGGTATGGAAGAAAGATGGAATTGCAGAAATAAAAGAAGGGAAGGGGCAGTCTCTTGATTAGAGCAGAGAGCATAAACCTTGGGAAACCGGCAAGCCTGAACCTTGTCAGCAGTCACAGAAAGCCACTCCTCATTCCACTTCCATCCTTTCCAGAAGTCTCAGGGTAAGATTAGGAGTGGAAGGGGCATTAATGATCTTGCAATGCCTTGGGGTATAGGATAGGATGTCGGAACTGAAGGGACTTTAGAAATCATCTAATTCAATCCCCCTCCGTTTACAGGTGCAGATGTGGAAAGGTGAAGGAACTTGGCCAGAGTCACATGGTTAGATTACTGGCAGAGCAGGGATCCTTAGTATTTACTGCTTTGTTTCTGTTCCCAAAGATTCAGTATGTATCTGAGTGGGACTTGGTATGTAACGTCCCCTCAGGCTCTCAGTTTGTCATGAATGAACTCTAGCCATGACCTTAGCAAATTCCATTTACTTGGAAGTCCTGATCAGCAAATGATGTTACAATTTTACATTTCTTTTGTCTAGGATCAAGTCCTCCATACCAGGGACCAGGCCAAAACCAGACTGCCACTGCCCCCATTTGGGCCCCACTGTCCCTAGAAAGCAGCTGCTGTGATCATGGGCAATATCTTTGGAAACCTTCTCAAGAGCCTGATTGGGAAGAAGGAGATGCGCATCCTGATGGTGGGCCTGGATGCCGCAGGAAAGACCACCATCCTATACAAGCTGAAACTGGGGGAGATAGTCACCACCATCCCTACCATTGGTAAGAGCACAACTTGGATGTGGGCTTTCATGCTGGCAGCTGAGGCAGGGCAGGTCACCTGTTCCTGGTTCCCCCGCCTGGTCTCTTCTCCCCAGGAAAGTCCATGCAATTTGTGGAGTTCAGAAAAGAGGTGGGTGTTGTTTAACTTACTAGTAGGTGCTGGGGCTGCTGTTTGCCCACCTAATCTGGCTCTCCCTGATGTGGGAGCTTCCATGGCCTGGCACTCAACAGTTGCCCTCAGGCACGGAATTGGTTTGTTCTCTGTGTTGTTTGGAAAGCAGGTGAAAGGCTTTGATGTTCCTGCCAAAGGCCTGGAATTGCTTGGGGTTAGATCTTTGGTGGCCAGTCTTGGTTACAGTCTGCTGAAGGGAGGGAGAACATTGCCATGTAGATGGGGGCTCCAGTCATCATTGTCAGCTGGCTCTGCCTTTGGGGCTCCAGGATGCCAGCTCACTTCCCTTTCTTCGGTCTGCCTCTCAGACCCCACATCTTAGCTGAAGCCAACTCTGATGGCCAAAGTACTGGAGTAGGGCTGAGTCATTTTGCAGGAGGGAGAGCCAAAGACTGAGTGGAAAAGTCAGAAAAGTTGGCTCATATTACCCAGGCAACTGTGAACCTCTTGACCAACCTTCCTTACCCTCTTCCATTTCTCCTAGGTTTTCATTTTGGCCTTCAGGCTGCTAGGTTAAGGATTACTAGGTCTGAGGAAGCCATAGCTTTTTTTCCATTGTTGGTGTCATGGCCCCCACTGGGGGAAAGCAGAACCAATCTCATTGTGATTTTGTTTGCGGGCCTAGTGTTTGAGGCCAAGTGGCCATTGCCTGTTTTCTTCCAAAGGGTTCAACGTGGAGACAGTGGAATATAAGAACATCAGCTTCACAGTGTGGGATGTGGGTGGCCAGGACAAGATTCGGCCCCTCTGGAGACACTATTTCCAGAACACTCAAGGTATGCCCAGGCCTAGCATGGGTTGGCTGAGTATGAGCAGAGAGTGGCTGTCTTTCTTGTTAATGTGTGGCCAACTGCTACCCTGCTGCAGCTCCTGGGGGTGGGAGAAAGGGAGGAAAGGGAGCAAATATTTGGAGGGTGTCAGGCAGGTGTCGTCTTTTGGTTGGGGGCAAGGGGTTACCTGCTATCTTAATGCAGCCCATGCTCTGCCTCCCTAGGGTTGATATTTGTGGTCGACAGCAATGATCGGGAGCGAGTAAATGAGGCCCGGGAAGAGCTGATGAGGATGCTGGCAGAGGACGAGCTCCGGGATGCTGTGCTCCTTGTTTTTGCAAACAAACAGGTGAGACTTCTTCCCACCCCTGAATTTGGCTGTGGAAACTGGCTGTGGAAATCACTGGGTCTTGGGCCTGTTACATGGGAAACCCTGTTACTATGCTCTCAATTTTAGAAGTGTGGGAAATTGAGTAGTTGGCTTCTTTGTGTCCCTCTTCTTGTGCCCCACCCCAGCTTTATTTAGCAACATTTCAGTCCTCAGGGATCGCCTCAGATCTTTCTTTCATCTTGCCTATTATCTACTTTAGTAGAATTGTCCTCACTCCTGCTGTCAGACAGACCTGATTCTTTGGTCAGTCTGAATCACATCTCTGCTTCCCTACCAACCTCATATTTGGTTTCTGATTCCTCAGTACAGTGACCTCTGGTGCCTTCAATCTTGGGTTCTAGGGTGACTAAATCCAAAGTAGCTCCTTAGGATCTTCTTGTGGGTTTCCTAAAATAAAGGAGGAGGGGAAGGTGCTGGTACACATTTCTTTGGTAGATGGGTGTTCTAGAAGCCTTTAAAAAATCCTGAGGCTTCTTTTTGTGTGTCTCCCTCGTGCTCCAGGATCTGCCTAATGCTATGAACGCTGCTGAGATCACAGACAAGCTGGGCCTGCATTCCCTTCGTCACCGTAACTGGTACATTCAGGCCACCTGTGCCACCAGCGGGGATGGGCTGTATGAAGGCCTGGACTGGCTGGCCAATCAGCTCAAAAACAAGAAGTGAGAGCCAGGCAGCCCTATCCAAGTGCCCCACCCACCCCTGACATACCTACTGTCACCCTGCCCCAGTCCTACCCCTTCCCCTCCATTGCAAGTGTGGCCAGGGCCCTGGGTATCATGTCCGCATGCCCAGCAAGAGCCTTGCCTCCCCTGCCTCCCCTCTTTTTTCCTGTCCACCTATATGACCAATCCCTAATTGCTGTCCTGATGATGAATCATTCCAATTTTACTGGATTTAAAACAAAAACAAGGTTGTTATGGTTTCATGGGGTGGCCCTTCTCTCTCTCACCTTCTGGGTTTCGGGAGGTTGGGTGGGGTATTCTCTTTGTTTGGCAGTGGTTGCTGTGCTCTTGGCATCTGAGTCCTTTCCCTGTCCCCACAAGCCCTCCTATTCCCTGTCTGCCTTTCCTTCACTACCCTCTCCCTGTTCTACATGGAACTTGCACGGGCCTCTCTGTGTGTGCGTGCATGTGTGCGCCTGTATATACATGTATAGAGAGAGATATATTCATCAGGGCCAGGGGGAAGCGGGGAGTGGGTGGAGTGAAGCTCAGGGCTTGCAGCCAGGACACTGCCCATTGGAGCCTGTCATCTGCCCCTTCCATGTTGGTGAGATTAAGGGAAGGAGGTAGGAGGGCATTAGTCAGGCCGGACTGCCCCGGTCTTTTACCGGTTACCCTATTCTCTGCAGGTAGGTTTTTCCAGATGATAGGACAGATGATGGATTCTCCACCACCATTTTCCTTGTACTCCTCTCTCTACCCTTCTTCCACCACCATTTTCCTTGTAATCCTCTCTCTACACTTCTTAGGGCTGAAGGGTGGCATTTATCTCTAGATGACTGTTCCCAAGGAGATGCCACTCTGCTCTGCCTTGTTATTGGGAAGGAGAGAGGAACCTACTCACTCTTAACAGCTTAGAGTGTTTAACTGATCCTCCCCCACCATCCTCAGATCTGTTCCTCTGGAGCTTGATGGGGAGGTGGGGATGGCAAGTCCAGGGTGTGTGTTAGGGACCCAGAGCATGGGAGAAGGGAGGAGAAGGCTTCAGATTTTCCATCTTCATTCTATTTTGTTATTAGGAGAAGGTGAGGCATGGATCAATCCTGTTCCTGCCTTCCAGTGCCCCCCACCCTTCTGATCTTGGGAGCTGGATGATTCATCTGTCCTTGGTCAGAAGTTTTCTCACCCTAGTAGTCCTGCTGGCCTGACTAGGGCTGACTGGGTGTTATAATGAGGAGCTGGGGAGTGGGGTGACATAGCTGACCTCAGTATCAGCCCCCCTCTTCTCTAACTCTTGTTTTCTAGTCCAGGATGTGCTAAAGGATGAAGATTTTAAATTGTTTCCAGGCCCTCAGATCATCCTTGCTGTCCCTTCACCCTCCATGTCCCTGCCCTCCTCACCCACTTCTCATAAATGGATCTGGGGGTTAGAGTGGAGGGAATAAAACCCTGAAGTGGTTGTCAGTGCTTGTGGGATGCAGTGGTCTTCCCCCCATTATTATGTAGTTCTTCAGAAGCTGCTGCTACTATGTCTCTCTGTCTGCAGGGGGCACTTGTCCCTGAGGTCCTGGCCTGTGTCCTGACTTCTGGAGTTTCTGTGAAGACATGGCTGTCCTGTGGGTTCCTGTGTGTGCTGGCTGTGCCCTCAGCTCTGAGATAGCTGCCCATAACTTTCTGCTAAGGTCAGGGCCCAGGCCCCCCCCATCCCCCCACAGCATGGCTGAGAGACCACTTCCCAGTGGGGCTGTCCCAAGCCCCATTCCATGGGGCCTGGTTTCCAGACCACTTTTTTCTATAGCAGGCAGATCAATACCAGTAACCCCATCCAAGATTGAACTGTGAAAGAGAGGTTCCAGAGGTATCTTCCCTCAGTGTCAGTTACTTAGTAATGTTTTACCCAGGATGCAGCAGGTGTGTGCAGGTATCTTGCTCTCTAGGTGAGTGTGTGTTCGTGCATGTGTGTGTGTGTGTGTGTGTGTGTGTGTGTGGTATGGTGTGTGTAGGGGTGTTAGAGGTTCTATTTGATTTAAAAATGTATTCATTCCCTTGACCCCACAGATGCTTCCCTCTGTACTTTTTATTTGCTCTATTTCCCATTGCCTCTCCCTCCTTGAACTCTTCCTTTTCAACCTCAAGTCATTCACTGCTGTTGCCTGTTTGCCCTTTTCCATGTATGTATTTTTTCCAACTTAGGATTCTCCACTCTATCTTTGTGGTTCGTGAGGACTTTACCTCTTCTCCTGCCTCATTCCCTGTCTTTCTCTAGTTTGATGCCAGTCCTAAATAGGTTTTCTTCACTTCAGGCCACACCCCTCACCTTGTGTTTTAGGGCTCTAGGGACCAATCTGGGGCTGAAAGTGTTAAAAGGTTGCCTTGGGGCTGCCCCAGATCTGTCCAGCAGGGGGCAGTAAGTGACCTTGGTAGTATCCCTGGCTGCTAAGCCCTTGGCAGGGATGGTCCTTTCAACATTCCCATTCACTTAACAGCTCTTTTGGGATTGGGTGTTTCATTCCATTTCTGCCCACTCCCTTTCCTGCTCTCCTCTGGTAGGTTTAATTTTATGCTTTCCCTGATTCCGGCTTTCTACTTCCTGAGGACTCCCTCCTTCCCCGACCCCAAAGTTGTGGTGTTACAGTGGTAACTGCAGTTCTGAACTGGGTTTTCTCTTCTTTTTTCCTCCTCTGGAATGTAGACTGTATTATGTTTAAAAACTCACCTTCTCTATCCTTGCTCAAAATGTGGGATAACGCGATGACTGTGACCTTGGTTGGAAATTAAACTTGTTTTATGCAGCTTTGGAGCAGACCTTGATCCTTGCTGTGCAGCAGCCATGGGGCAGTGGTTCAGTGGTGAGGGTAGTTCTGTTTCTGGTCCTTCTCTCCATAGTACTCCTTTTTTCAGCAAAGGAGTAAAAGGCACACTTGATTGATAGAGAGTGGGGTTATGGAGGAAACTAGTCCCACTCTACACTGCTTATTTCTTCCCATCATATACCCCAGGGGGAGCCGAAATGAATTGGGCATCAGAGTGTGAGTGCTTTGTGACTTTCTTCCTCTAGTTCTGAAAGGTTTAAATCTGAAATTAGCCGTATTTATCACCTGTTGGTAGACTGTAGGGACTTCACTGGCTGAAGGGCCCTGAACTTGGGAAGCCCATATGCCTCTACTCTCAGATCTCGTCAGCTCTCTGCACATGAGGTGCTTCTAGTTTGAACAGAGACCTCTCACCAGTCTAGTTCTGGACTTTGGCAGTGAATAAGCATGAAGGATAAACGTCTGGGCAGTGTAATGGCCTTGATACTTCTTAGAACTGACAGCCCTGCATCAGCTCTACTTCAGGCATGTGGTTTTTCATTGTCAGGATGCCAAGCCTCATCCAGAGATCCCACAAATGTCTTGAGGAACAGACCTTTCCCATAAAGCTGCCATCCTCCCATCCCACTGCCACCACTATTCTGTTCCTTTCCTGCTACCAGTGTCTGGCTCCAGGCAAAGAAAGGGATGGTGCCACCTTTAGGGTAGGTGAGGTCTGGGAAAGCCAGGCAAGCCTTTCCCACTCTTACTGTTGTCTTAAGCTTTGAGGACGGAGATCTTCCCGGCCTGCTATTGTGGGAAAGGGATAGGATTTAGGCATATAATAAGTTTGAGAGCCCCAAGTACCAGTGTTAAGCATATAATTTGTATTCAGTTATTTCCCTGCTGCCTCCCCAGCCAAGTTTCCTTTTCAACTCTTCTGTTATTAATAGGCCATCAACCTCAGGGACAAGTGCTTCTGCCATATGTAACTCTGAAACTACTCCAACCAGACATCTCTTATCAATCCCAACTTTGAACATTCCCCACCTACTCCTCAAGATCAGATGACACTTTCTTCCTTCTAGGCTCCTCTAAAGTTCTGCTTGGTGACAGGCTGCTGATAAGAATATCTTTCCCAAGTGTTTTAATTTCTATATTGGCAAATAGATACTTTTCAGAGCTACAACCTCTCATAAGATAAAGATAATGGAGAGGACTTTAGTTGAATGGTGGGCCAGTTGGGTGGGTCTTTGGACCCCTGAACAACTTGGAGAAGAGGATGAGCTATTCCTTTCTGTCCCTTAGTACTCAGTTTAGAATGCCAGGAAGGAGGTAGAGGGGAGCCCTCTCGTGGCAGTTGCTTAAACCTTCAGAGGAGATAAATGCTTAGCACCCAGCTCTTAGGACAAACAACAACCCCATCTTCCAGAACATGAATAGCGTTAGTCATGGACTGGCGAAAGACTTGGACCCAAGGTCCAATTCAGGATAATCTGGGCAAGGGAGCTTCCCAAATGAGTCTGTAGAAAGTCAGTGGAAGGGCTTAAGTTGGCCAAGGTTGGATGGAGGGCAAAACCCTCCACTTCATTCCAGAATATAGGGGCAGTGGCCGAGAATGAATGTATGCATGAGTTTCTCAGCTTTGAGGTAGAAGGTCTGAAGGCTCTGGGGATTCACTGCACACACCACTTCCAGTTCAAGCACCTAGGTTGGTTACAGCAGGAAGTTGACAAGTATGTATTAAGTGTATTCGATGTTTTTGGGCATCTGGGGATCCATTTCTGGGGTGCTCCGGAATCCCTTTGGGATATCTGTAATGTACCATGTTGGGTTGTGAGAGTTGGGGGACACCCATTCCATTGCCACTGCTTAGTGTGGGGAGTAGAGTCTTTGGGCGGCAGTCATATTACTAAGAAAAGTGTTGTGTTTTTGTTTTTGTTTTTGTTTTTGTTTTTTTTTGAGACACAGTCTCTGTCACCCAGACTGGAGTGCAGTGGTATGATCTCGGCTCATGAAGTGGCATGATCTTGGCTTACTGCAACCTCTGCCTTCCGAGTTCAGGTGGTTCTTGTGCCTCAGCCTCCCCAGTAGCTGAGATTACAGTTACACACCACAACACCCAGCTAACTGTTTTTTGAGAGCGAGTCTCATTCTTACCCAAGCTAGAGTGCCATGGCGTGATCTCGGCTCACTGCAACCTCAGCGTCTCAGGTTCAAGCAATTCTCCTGCCTCAGCCTCCGGAGTAGCTGGAACTGTAGGCATGTGCCACCATGCCCAGTTGATTCTTGTATTTTTAGTAGAGATGGGGTTTTACCATGTTGGCCAGGCTGGTCTTAAACTCATGACCTCAAGTGATTTGCCCGCCTTGGCCTCCCAAAGTGCTGGGATTACAGGCACCAGCCACTGTGCCTGGCAGAAAAGCTGCTTCTCCAGTTCTGAAGAGTGCAAAGGTAGGAGAGCCAGAATC